ATACATATAGAGCGGAAAAATTGGCAAACTCATCTTGGTCCGATGATGTCAAATATTTCCGACATCTGAAAATAGACCTTTGGTTTATGGACAGCCCAATGTGCGTTCACCTATACGTATAGAGTAGGCAAGTACATAAATGACCGAGTGTCAGGGACATGGGCGATGTCGCATAGCGGGGCTTATCAGCCCATAAACTGCACCGATGCAACTGCATTCGGCTGATAGTGGATCGATCGCACCTCGTTGCGTGGTGATGCAACAAATGCCGGCGTGTGATGACAATGACCAGACCAACAACGACAACAGCAATAGCGGTCGTTGCACCTGGAGAAATTAGTCGGTCTTAAGCTAGGTTGTTGTAAATTAATTTGAATTTGTTTTTACCAAATAAGCCGTAGCTCAAGAAGTGATTCAAAGTGACAAGCATATAAACTTTTTAGAATAATGTTGTGTTTTTGTTCAATAATAATTTAGTTATATGTATATTCCTACATAGACTTCCTTTTTCATATACAATCGAATTCTTGAGTGTTATACTTTAGTTTCATAATTTAAATTATGTTCAATTTTGAGAATGTAGTAAAAAAGTCATGTGTAAATTAATTATGGGACTATAATTTATTTTATTTTCAACGATATAGAAGGTTATATATTTTGGCTTGATTCGTATTTTTATGGTCGAAGGTAAAGTTATTTTTCTGCATGTACGAGTGTAAAGCGATAAGGAATCGCAGCTTGTAATGTGTGTCAAGCCGGCAGCTAAATTTAGGTGACACTATCAGTCCGCAACGAGAGCCTCAGCGGAGAGGTTCAGCTATAGATCAGCGGCGCCTAGATTAAAGCAGTGCTCAGCATATCAAGAAGATGCGCAGGCAGCAGTCCTATCGCTTTGAGGACAATGAGTCCACCTCCTATGCCCTGAGGGTGGGGAATTAATACGCAAAAACGCAATGAGGAATATTCAAACACTAATTGTTCTTATTTCTTCCTGTCTTTCAGATGAATCGTCGCTTTTCGAGAGTGGAGTCCGGGGCGGACCTGAAGGATTACTTTGATCGGGGAGACATCGCCTCCCGGGAGAATCGATGGAACTTCGAGGTGGCATGGGAGGTGGCCAACAAGGTGGGCGGCATTTACACGGTGATCCGGTCAAAGGCCTATGTCTCCACCGAGGAGATGGGCGAGCAGCTGTGCATGATGGGTCCCTACAAGGAGCACTGTGCCCGCACCGAAATGGAGGAGATGGAATTCCCCAGGGGAAATCCCCTACTAGATGCTGTGAACTCTATGCGATCGCGGGGCTATAAAATCCACACTGGTCGCTGGCTGGTCGATGGAAATCCCCAACTAATCCTTTTCGATATTGGATCCGCCGCCTGGAAGTTGGACCAGTTTAAATCGGAGATGTGGGAGAAGTGCCACATAGGAATACCTCACTTGGATATTGAAACCAACGATGCCATTATCCTGGGCTTCATGATTGCCGAGTTCCTGGAGGAGTTCCGCAATTTGGCCGTGACCTATTCCCAAAACAACGAGCTAAGTGCCCCCAGGGTTGTGGCCCATTTCCATGAGTGGCAAGCTGGCGTTGCACTAATCGTCCTACGCACTCGCCAGGTGGAGATTGCCACTGTTTTCACCACTCATGCCACATTGTTGGGTCGTTACTTGTGCGCAGGCAATACCGATTTCTACAATAATCTAGATAAGTTCGCCGTGGACGAGGAGGCCGGCAAGCGCCAGATTTACCACCGCTATTGCCTGGAACGAGGCGCCACCAACTTGGCTCACGTGTTCACCACCGTCTCGGAGATTACGGGCTACGAGGCGGAGCATCTGCTCAAGCGCAAGCCGGACATCATCACGCCGAACGGTTTGAATGTAAAGAAGTTTTCGGCCATCCACGAGTTCCAGAATTTGCACGCCGTTGCCAAGGAGAAGATCAACGAATTCGTACGAGGACATTTCTACGGGTGAGTTTTGTTAAATTACTATTATGTTAATATTGAATCGATAGTCGTTTATATTATTGTTTATTGATAAAAAAAACCCACCGAATCCAAGCTTATAAAAATAACCAGGCAAATAGTATTTTCTATACTCAATGTTATGCGGAAATGTATTTAATCTTCAATGTAGACTTGTACACCCTTGAATAAAGGTTAATCGATCGAAACATGACTATCTGTAATATTCATGCATGATTATATGATTTTAAATGAATAGTAAATCAATGCTGGCATGAGATAATTACAAAATTATTGCAATCTGATTATATTGGAAGATTACAATTTAACATTAACCATAAACTATATTTTTAGAAAATAAATGTGAAATAACCCTTTTATTTAATTTGCCTAGCACAGTTAGTAACCACATTATTTAATCCCAATAGCCACATTGACTTTGATTTGGACAAGACCCTGTACTTCTTTATCGCCGGTCGCTACGAGTTTGGTAACAAGGGAGCCGATATCTTCATCGAGGCACTGGCTCGTTTGAATGCGATGCTGAAACACGAGAAGCCGGACACCACGGTGGTGGCCTTCCTGATCTTCCCCACCAAGACGAACAACTTCAACGTGGACTCGCTGAGGGGACATGCCGTGATCAAGCAGCTGCGAGATACGATCAACAACGTGCAGCAGGAGGTGGGCAAGCGGATGTTCGACACTTGCCTGAGGGGCAACATCCCCAACGCCGATGATCTGCTGCAGAAGGAGGATCTGGTCAAGATCAAGCGCTGTATGTTCGCCATGCAGCGCGATTCGATGCCGCCGGTTACCACGCACAATGTGGCGGATGACTGGAACGACCCGGTTCTGTCGTCCATCCGTCGCTGTCATCTGTTCAACTCGCGTCACGATCGTGTCAAGATGGTCTTCCATCCGGAGTTCCTCACGTCCACTAACCCTCTGTTCGGAATCGACTACGAGGAGTTCGTCCGTGGCTGCCACTTGGGTGTCTTCCCCTCGTACTACGAGCCCTGGGGATACACTCCCGCCGAGTGCACGGTGATGGGAATTCCCAGCGTGACCACCAATCTGTCCGGATTCGGTTGTTTCATGGAGGAGCACATCAGTGACCCCAAGTCCTACGGCATCTACATCGTGGATCGTCGCTATATTGGACTGGAGAACAGTGTCCAGCAGCTATCCAGCTTCATGATGGAGTTCTCGCGGTTGAACCGCCGCCAGCGCATCATCCAGCGTAATCGCACGGAGCGCCTTAGTGATCTGCTCGACTGGCGCACCCTGGGCATTGTTAGTATCTTATAGGCTAGTCCCATTGCCAATTGTTTTATATGTTACTGAAAGCTCTCTCTTCATTTTGTTACATAATAACACTGACCTTATTTTATTTGCTTTTGCAGTACTACAGACAGGCCAGGGTTAAGGCCTTGCAGGCTGTTTACCCGGACTATGTGGATGAGTTGACTCTCTACGGATCGCGCAACAATTTGATCTTCTCGCGACCTCACAGCGAACCGCCCAGCCCAACTTCATCGCGTAAGTGGGAGGAAGAAGAGTGTGATCGCTAGAAATTTGAATATTCTAAATTATAATTCAATCTTTCTACTGTTTATGCCTTTTTAAATTCTGTTGTCGTACTTTTACAAGACAAGTTTTTGATTGTTGACTATTTTGGTACAGTTTTAAATAAAACAGCTGTTGGACATTCCACTTTTACTTTATTTCTACATATCTCTGACTAGTCATCAGAGTTTTTAATACATTTTTCGCGTCTGCTTTGAACTGTGAAAAGGTACCTTTTTAAAATATAATCCAGGTCTAAAAGTAAGCAGTGTATTATTTAAATTAGTGCAATATATGCAATTTTATAATATATACTGATAAGAACCTGAAAAAATCATTGAATACTTTTAGACAACTAAAATAAAGCAACTAATAACCGGTAGCTAAAGCCCTTAAATTAAAACTAAATCTATTTAAAAATGTATCAAACTCAAAAAATAGTTCATGATTAGGCGCACACTATTGTTAAACATATAATTGCATGATCTAATATTCTTTTTACCATTAGGTCACACCACACCAGCTCCATCGGTGCACGGTTCGGATGACGAGGACTCCGTGGATGAGGAAACCGAACTCAAGGAATTGGGCATCAAGTAGAGCTCTACGCCTTTAAAATTGTAGCGGACAAACCAACTAAAATCAACACACGCGCAATATTACCATAAGTTCTAGTAGTCTTGTTCCACTATTGTTCATCGAGAAAAATGTAAGGGGCAGAGCAGACGATCGGGAGCCCCGCACAGAAGCCTACGAAACTATCTACCTGCAATTGAAATGCCAGAACAAATGTTTTCACATCAAATCAAATTATTAATATTATGTATGCTTAGATCGCAAGCGTAAGCATTCGAGCAGGACGAATCCAGATTTTATTAAACGTTGTATAGTCTATAAGGAGAATGAGGTCTCCCCGCCCTTTTACCCTGCTCCATACCCTGCCTATCAAATAAATCGTTATTTAAAGTACACTCACTTGGCCTGGATCTAAATTGCACTAACATAAAAGCTGATAAGTTATCGGGATTATATAAGGAAAAACAATTTTATTTCTGGTTCTCAGTGAGGAATTTATAAGTGGGACGACAGAAAAGGTTTTCCTTTTATATTTTTAATCAGCCATAAAAAGTCTTCCCTTTGATACTGTCAATGATAGCATTTATATTTTTACAACAACCAGACAAAAGACAATACTTTGCCAAACTGCAACTGAAAATTAGCGATGAAAATAACTTCTTAGTTTTTTCCTTTACTTGATATTGCATTCTTTATTAGATATTGGTTTCGGTGGTTAACATGAATAACACAACAATTCAATTGAGAACAGAATTATTCAGTTTGTAAATAACGATTACAGTTACTTCAATTTGAAATACCTCTAACCAATTTGTACTCTATTAAATCCAATCGTAATATGTTTATGAGAAGAGAATAAATATATGAGTAAGGCTATAGAACACGTAAAGTTTTAAAAAGATCCTTTATTGGGTAAAGTATTATACAAAAATGGCGAGCTTGGTAGTGCTAGTTTTATACTGTAATCTTGGATTTGGTTTACCAAAAACACTGGTAGATATTGAGGCAAAAAGTTTGGCAAAAAATCTCAATAGTTTTTTATTATATCTGGCTTTGATATTTAATTTTTCCGATTGCGTTTGCTGTAAGAGGATCGCACAAAGGTTCTGGGGTTTTGTCGCCGTCTTCTCCTTCGCTGTACTTCAACGCCATAATCATAGTCGTCAGGATACTTTTCATTTTCCGCCGGCTGTTCCTGATGAGCAGAAGGTCCCTGCAGCGAGTCCTGAATATTTTTATCTACCAAGCAATTCTCGATGTTATTATCGTCACACAAAATCCACCCATCATCTCCTGATCCTGCGAGGATATTGTCTTCATTATTATTTCCAATATTATTTCCGTTGCTATTTCCATGATAATTTCCATTATTATTTCCGTTGTTATTATTTAATGGGAAGTTGCCATATGGTGGATATGGCATATACGGATTGTACATATAAGGAGCATTGTACATAGGCATAGGCGCTCCGAATCCCTGGAAACAACCTGCACACTGGGCGGGCAGTCCGTTTTGCAGGATATATCCATAGGGCATATTGAGACACTGCTGGCAAGTGGATCGTTTCACCCTCGGCGGCTGAACCACCTCCACACTTTGTCTTTGATTTTGGCCACATGTGAAATAGGGCCAAGTGTTACCAAGGTACTGGCACGGCGCTAGTTGGCTGGACTTCTTTGAGTGGGATCTCCTCCTCCGTGGCACATATTCGATGGTCTCGTGGCATTTGTCGGTATCTTCGGCATCGCATTGGACCACTCTTTTGGCCAACATCACTCTTGCCTGACACCTTTCACCACAAACCCGTTGGCGGCTTTTCTCCCTGCAATCGTGGCCGTTCTCGTGCTCACACTCCCGATCCAAGCGCACCACATAGCAACAGGATCCCTGGTCACTATAGCCCAAGCCAAAACGTCCACCCACCTGGGACACATTTTGCTCCACCTGGACATTAACCTCATTTCGATTCTGGATTTGGTGCTTGATAATATTGGTGATCTCGTTGGTCAGGCGAATAATGTTGGTGGTATTGAGAGGGACTTGTGGAGGTGCCACTATATCCGTATCGTTAATGCCCTGGACCATCAGGGGTTTATCGTACAGTTCCGGACACACTGGGCATTCATCTACGCAGGATATTTTACCATCACACACGTTTATACAACTATCCCTGTTCGCCTGACACTCCTCGTAGTCCCGCAGAGTTGGCTTCTCGTAGTTCTGGAGCGGAGTTTGCACCACTATCGTATTGTTTTTCAGCTGATCCTGGGCAGTGATGCCCAAGGTCAGCAGGTGGAGTAGCCCAACCACCGCGTACAAGTGCATCTGTAAAAATAATTAAAAGATCAACAACAGTTCTTGAAATAATCAAGTTTTAAATAAAAACTATTTGCTTTTTCTTATTTGGCTTAGCCGTATTATTGAATGCTAAAGCTTATCGAAGAACAAAAATGACGTGATTGCTGATTAAAAATATAAACATTTTCTTGAATTGGCATTTTTTAGAAATAGGGAATCAACTTATTTCCCTTAATATTTCCTTCTACCCACTTCTGAGATAAGATTAGATTTTCCAACCTTTATTGAACATCTCGTCACTTTCTTCAACAATAAATGCAAAAACAAATAAATCAAATTAATGTGTGAATCACCCAGTTCTTATTTAAACAAGAACTGAAAGAATTTTCTCCTTAAAGACAACTTTTTCAATTTAGCTGACCAAACTTGAATTAAACACTACTTTCAGGTGCCAAAAATCAATGACTTGTAACGTTATAGTTAATATTAATAGGCCCATTAAATTCGCTACCAAACGACAATCAGTCAAATTTCATAACGATCGCTTGATAACAAAAGTGCGAAAAAAATACAAAGTGCCAAAACAAATTGAAATTTTTTGGCAGTGGTTTTGTCACTATCGCTACCATTGCTGGCTTTCCAATTAACATTAAAACACAACCGAATTCTCGGACTGCGGTGATCCCGGTAGCTTGTTACTCACCTTGGAATGCGGCATTATCAAGTGTTTGGCGGTTTCGTTGGTTCGCTTCGATACTGTGGTACGTCCGCTGGTGCGAAAAGTGGAGTCTCAACTGCAGTGGTTAAGTGGTGGCTATAGCACCACCCACCCATCCCCCACCTACCCTTGAAGATAAGGTTAGATAACACTATCAAAGAATTGATTGCTGGCGAAGCTTTCACTCAATTGCCAGTCGAATCACTCAGAATTCAACAGTTCAACATGCTGCACAATTATTAGCACATGCGAACGATTATCATCCGCTTATTATAGGACAGATAAGATTTTTAAACCGACAATTGATGTCAGTACTCACAGAACATAGAACCCATTAAAATACATTTATAATACTGCCTACATCGTTTTCCCAAAAGTTCAAGCTCAAGAAATTCTTTTCATGGCGCTTGGAATGTTCGATTATGACGCACTACCTTATATCAACACTTTGCCCTGTGACGTCAATTTAAAAAGTAAAAGAACTTATAGATAGGATTAATACCAAAAAAGTAAACAGTTTATATGTTAGCTATTGTGAGGAGCTTAAAAATGCAAATAAGCGTACATATAATTTACGATGCACCAATTTCCATTATTTTTATTTTTGTATTTTTCTTCGCTGACAGCTTGTTTTAAAAATGAATAGGGTGTGGTCAGGAATAAGACTATAAGGCTAAAAGTGATTGCCTAAGTTAAATTTAACTGTTTATGATCAATTGACTGCTCTAATCATTTCTACTCAAGAAAAACATATTGTAATTTGGTATTCAGAATTTATATTTTTTCTTTATTTTAACATATCCTTCAGCATAAGGGTAATTATTTGAGTAATAGTCTCTTAACATTAATTTTGCATTTTGTCTGTTGCCGGGAACCATCCGTCATCCGCTCGGCAGCCGATTTGTCCAGGATATTGGGAGCAGTATTCGGTTTGGTCATAATAGGCGCAGTTGTGGCTGCTGCACTTGTATGAGTAGCAGTACGAGGAGCAGGTCGAAAAGTCACCCATCGCACAGCCGCTGCAGTCGTAGAAGTCTAAAGTTGAAATACACAGAAAGATATAAGAAAAATTTATTAAGTAAAAATTAAAAATTAGACTGTAAATAAATATTAATAAACAGAATGAACAGAAAAAACTCTAAAAACGAGAGCCACGACTATCCAATATCCGTTACTCTATTAACCAATTTTAAAACCACTATGTCAATATGCCTATGCTATTGGCGCGGCTAAGGTATAACTTCTAAAATAATTAATTAAAATAAATAATAAATTGGTTTGAAAAAAAGAAAAATATATTCGAATCAATAAATGGCCTCTTGCGTAGCTGATAGCTCGTATAGTTTCCGAGACAGCCAGAAGACTTGGGGTTTTGATCCTGATCAAGAATACATATACTTTATATGGTCGAAAGAGCTCCCTTCTACATGTTACATACTTTCAATGAAGACAATATTAAAAAGTAAATCTACTAGTAATTGGTATAATAAACATATTGTTCAGCTTTTAAAAAAATAGAAGATTTTAATCTGTTTTTGGAATATGGATTATAAATGCACAATTTTAAATATAGTTGGATTTGTTTAGAACTTACTTTGAGCCTGCTGGCAGATGCCACCGATGGACTGGCATCCTTGACCCGCCCAGTTGGGCGGCATTACCACCATCTGGGTGTTGGCCTGCGTCCAGGTGGCTACTGCTGGCGGTGTGAGCACCACCTTGTTGGCACTGCAGAAGGAACCACACTGCTGCTGACTCCTGCTGAAGCACTTGTATCCGACTTGATCCGCCTGGGTGGTGCAAATCCGAGGAGCCACCACATTGCAGCATGGACCCGAGGGCGGCTGCGGCACAACTACTTTCTCTTCCTCCTCCTCCTCCTCCTCGGAGGCTGGACCTTGGATTGCGATGGAGGCGTTGACCTTGACATTGTTCACATTTTTGGTAACCAGGTGGGGGAGAGCACCAGCCTTCTGTTGGACATAGTTCTCAATGTGGATATTGCCAATTTCCACTGGCTTGGGCTTTGAGCACCTGATTCCCGTCCAAACATATCCTGCGGGGCAGCGTGCCTGAACGCAGCGTCCTCCGGCATTGATTCCATATCCCCCGCAGTAGAGCAAGCGACAGGCGCCTTTTACCAGAATCGTTCCATCTGGACAGCGGGTAATGGGATCCGGAGGTGGAGCGGGGATTGGGATTGGGTCAGGAGGTTGTGTGGTATATGGCGGGGGTGGTGGATAGGGCCTCTCAGTTGGTGTAGGCTTAAGAGTGGGAGGAGTTGTCGGGCAGGGAGTATTGGGACAGTTAGTTGGACAATTATTAGGACATTGAGTTTGCTGATTGCAATTAGCAGGAGGACAAACAGTGGGACTTAAAGGAGCATTGGGACAAGAAGGTTTACCAGGAACAATACCAGGAACACTAGGAACAACAATCGGATCTAAAGGAGCGTTCGGACAAGCAGGAGTAGGAACACTAGGTACCTCAATGGGATTTAAGGGAGTATTGGGACAAGCTGGAGTACCTGGAACAATACCAGGAGCACTAGGTATTCAAAAACAAAAACCAGGAGCACTAGACTTCAATGATTTAAAGGACATTTACAACAGGAGTCCAGGAACAATACCAGGGACACTAGGTACGACAATGGGATTTAAAGGAGCATTCGGACAAGCAGGAGTTCCAGGAACAATACCAGGAACACTAGGTACCTCAATGGGATTTAAAGGAGCATTCGGACAAGCAGGAGTTCCAGGAACAACAACAGAAGCCACAGGATTACAAGCTATCCCTGTTTGACCACCGCACACACCATTAAACACATTTACAATGACTTGACTGCAAGCGCCATTGACATAGGCCTGACCTGTTATTTATAAACAGCCATAATGAATCGAAAAGCAGAACTAGTCCAACTCAAACTTACCATTCTGGCAGGGATGCGGTATGGAATTGGCGATAACCTCCGCGGGGATTAGTCCAAAGCAGATTAGCAGCAGCAGCAGCTGCCAGGAACGCTCCTTCCGATCAGACATGCCGATTCGAACTAAACCTGGTACTCACCGATTACGGATGAGGAACAGCTGAAGCTCTGGCCCAGCCGACCTTCGTCGTTATCTGCGGCTTGCGGGGAAGGTTATCGAGGCGCCAGCAATTATGCATCCCATTCAGAATCATCCCCATCCCAGTGAGCTCACCGCTGGATCGTCGCTTCGATTAGTCTCTCTTAAAGTGCGAACAGCCGCGCATCGCGAATCTCTGTCCCAGATCCCGGAAATCTCGATTCGAAACTCGGACATTATGCTTTCGAAATCGATGAGTTCGGCGCTGATCGGCTGCCTGATCATCAATGCAATCTGTGTCAATGCTCAAACAAATATCGTGGTAAAGCAAAGCTCTTAACTAGTTCTTGATTATTGGTTCCTGATCTTCACCGAAATACTTTTCGCAGCAGCCTTCCTGTCCGACGGGTTATCAGTATGTTGACGGCAAGTGCCTCAGCTCCGCCTCCTGTCCTGAGGGTAAGATCTGCCTTTAAAGAAAGAATTATTTACTCAAAACGGTGTCCCATATTATCAGTAGCCTTATATGTTCATTAACGTAAACAATCAATGGGTTCATACATTGTATTTAATTAGCATACAAAATATGGTTTATTTTTAGCCTTAGAACTCAAATATTTGATTTATACCAATTTTGCGTGTACGAGACGTGTTTCATTATCAGCAAGGTTGGACTTAAAAAAACATTAAATAATAATACAAATGAAGCTCATTTGGTCTATTTACCTAACAAGCAAAACAAATAATGAATAAATGAAGAATATTCTGTAAATTATACAAAAAATAGTTACGTTGACCAATTCGTTTTAGTTTCATAAATATATATACAAATAATAATTTTAAAGATTTATTAATTCATTAATTAATGTGATGATTTTCTTACTTTCATATTAGGCTATTACCTACACATTGATGGAAAATGTTACTTACAGACCAACTTTTTATGTAAACCTGGTAAGTGACTGATTTACAATTTTTGATCGGTTCTCTTTTCTCTAAATGATTTATATTATAAAAGCAAATTATAAAATTGGTCCTATTTATGTTTAGGCTACTTTCTTAACACTGATGGAAAGTGCTATCGAACGAACCCTGAACCGTGTCCTTTTGAGACCACAACTACTACGACAACAGAGCCCACTACAACCACCACAACAACAACAGAACTCACTACAACAACTACTACAACAACAACAGAACCCACTACAACAACCACAACAACAACTGAACCCACTACAACAACCACTACAACTGAACCCACTACAACAACCACTACAACTGAACCCACCACTACAACTACTACAACAACAGAACCCACCACTACAACAACTACTGAACCACCTCAAGATGATCTTCCCATCCCTGATGAACTGACTCGCTGTCCGCCGGGATCGGTTTTCATCGCCTCGCAATGCCGGAAAATCGTCTGTTCGGAGGGTGAATTTCACGCCGGACGCTGTATTTCTCCGGCCTGTCCGCAGGGAACGGTTTGGTACGGTAAAAGCTGCCAAGAACCAGGATATATAACCACCATTCTGGAGATAAGCAATTTGATCCACAATGAGCACAAGTACACGGTGACAAGCGAAAATATAAATCGGGTGGAGTACATTACAGCCGCCCCCTACGATCCAGATAAGGACAAGAGCTACGACCCAAGTACACCCGAAAATGTCCCAGATAATATTGTAGAAATAACAACAACCACAACTAGGCGTCCCTGGATATATACCAGGCCAACCACCAAGCAGCCGGTGGTGGATGAACTCTTTCCGGGTCGAGATCCCAAGCCGGGCTGCTGTTTCGTGAAGAGTGCACGCATCTGCATCAACTACGCCCCCAACTGGGTCTGTTCCTCCAAGGAAAAGAAGTTCTGCGATCCCAGGGTATGTACGGCTCCGGTGGTTTATTTGAAGCCGCCACAGATAGTCCATGGCGAAAACCCGAAGCGGGTGGTAATGCCGCCCAATCCACCGCTCCTGGCCTGCAGTACGCCGGAGTGCAAGGAAAGCGGTGAGTCTATTTATATAAACATTGACTTAAAACAATGTTTATTTGCAATTTTTTAAAATTATAAACTTAAAAAAAAAACAAATTAATTAGTTTTATCATAATTATAGCAAGACTTTTTGAAACGAACTATATTTTCAAAAGTTTTTCGTTTACCGACCTAGGGATAATTTTAGCCCATGAATATTTTTTTTAATCGTACATATATTGCAAAACAATATAATATTCCAAATATATATTTTTGGAAAGGTTTCTTATATACATAAATACTAATAAAATAATTTAAATAAATAAATACATATTTATTTAAACGTCATTGCGTTTAATATAAAAAAAAAACATATTACAATAAAATCACAGTCACAAGATCTCTTAATATGAACATATATACAAATAATGAAAACGCTTTATAATCTTAAATCCCGCAGAGGTTTTGGATTGTTCCGGCTGCAAGGATAATCAGCGGGAAAAGTGCTCACCGGGCTGCTACAGTTATTACTGTCCCAATGGATCCTGCGCCTTTATGAATACTGAGGACTTTTGCGGAATCTATCCGGGCGAGTTCGGGTGCAACGCGAAAGATGGATGTATCTGGGACTGGTGCAGTAAGAAGTGCTACTAGCTCCTTCATTTGTTATATTTTTTAAAACATAAATAAAACAAGTAAAAACCAATATTTCTGTTCAATGTGTACAGTGTTTTGTTTATCGGTAGTTTAGTTTTTAAGAATTTTCTCAAAGTATTTACTGTAACGTAATTTAAATTCAAATTAAACATTAGCTTGACATATCGATAAGAAGCAAAGACATACTCCCAATTGGAATTAGCAAAGGCACTGCTCCAATTTGATTTACCCACCTTTAGCTCTAACGCTCTCCCTCTCATGTTTCGCTCTCTCACGAAAACAGGTATGCTATTCCGATGAATCGATAACAAGTGGGGCCCGCTACAGCTGTTGTCGCATATCTCATTTTGTTTTTGCATCGCGAGCGGGTCGGTCGTCGAAACGGATTCGAACTGGAATCGGAATAGCGGGTGACCGGAGAGCGGGCGCCTTTCTGTGTGCTTTTGAAAAAAGTTTGTTTGAAAAAAGAGTAAAGCAAACGGTGCCGCCAAGTGTGCGCGAGTGTGTGTGTGCCTCTGTGTTTTGTGTGTTTGCAAATACAAAAGAAGCAGCCCCCAAGCAAAAACAACAACAAAGTGTCGGCTTTGGCGGTGGCAGCGCAGTAGCAGCAACGCAGCAGCGGAGCGGCAGCGACGTCCAGTGCATTTTGGTGCAAACTAATTGTTGTTGGAAGAGGTACGATATATATGTATGTGTGTGTGCTAGTGGGTGGGAGTTTGTTGCAGGTGTGTTTGTAATTTAGATTTTTGTTTTCCTTTTGTCATCATCCTGTAATAAGAATAAAACAGCAGGCATTTGTGGAAAAAGTATTTAAAGTGAGAATTTATATGATACATTTAAGTTGTTAAACGGGCAATTCAAAAAGAAACAAAGCCAAAATAATTTAAAGTCCAAGGAAATAATTTAAAAAACCAAATTCACAAAAACAAAATAAAACAAAATATTTATTAAAATAAACTAGAGGGCAAAAGCAAAATAAAAAAAACACAGAAAGTAAACAAAACTGCAAAAGCAAAATAAAAGAAAAATCATATTTAATAAACCGCAAAGGGCTGTTGTATAAGCATTTGTTTACATAGTGCAAAAAGCCATAAATTGTAGAATATTCCCCCAGCAAAGAAGTGTTCTCGCTCTCCATCTCCGCTCTCTCTATTTCTCGCTGTCGCTTGTGTTAATTGAAAAAAAAATCAACAAACTTCCTGTTTTTTTTGTGCCTCCCTCCCTTTTCCGCACTTTTCATAACTGTTGCCGCAGACAACAAGAGTATTATTGTGGCAGTCCGCCCCGCCCCCTTTCTCCACCCGCCTACAAACTCTCTCTCTGAAAAGGGAAGCGAGTGTGTGTGTGTTGGCAAGAAAGTTTTGTATTTGCTTTTGTGATTTCTGCTTGCTGTTTGATATTTGCCAGAAGTGCGGGCGTTGAAGTTTTTAGTGCAACATTTCTCTGCTCCAGCGGGAGCTTTTATAATGTGTGTGTGCGCTATTATTAAAACCCCCAACGCTCACACACACACACTCATTCGTGGGCATGGGGCAAAAAACTATGGCCGTGTGTATGTGTGCGAGGCGTTGGCGTTCTGACCAGAAGAAGAGGAAAATAAAGCAGCGGTAAAGGGTAAAAGGAAAAGGAGAGAAGAAAGAAAGGGACAGAAAGATATGGGAAAGGATACCAAGTATATACCAATAATCAGATAAAACATAATGCATATCCATCGCGGAAATCAACTTTATCAGCAAACGCATGTAGAATACATACATACAATATATGTATGTATGTAAAAAACACTTAATAAGCCTTACCTAAAAGAATTTATGTTCTATTTTAAAATTAAGAACAGATAGAAAGCCTCAATCTAACATATTTAGAATTTACTAAACTTAAACATAAACTTTTTTCCGGTAATCCCATAATCTAATTTCTATAAAAACTAATCTACTACTCTACCACTATTATTTCAAAACGTATACGTTAATATATTAATACAAGCCAAACATATTTAAAATATTAAAAACAACATTGTTCTGTGCATAAATTTTCAATATCAAATAAAATAAACAAATTTAAAAAGTATGACATCAAGCTTAAATCACATTTAAGACGTTTTATTGAGGCCAAAGACCAGAACCAAAGGAATTTCTGTTTTTATAACCTTCGAGAAGCCATAAAACTAAAAGATTGCTCTGTCTTGTTTTTAGATTATAAACTTTGTTGGACATTTATAGCTTGAGCCATTTACACACATATGAATTTAGAAACTATCAGGATGTTGTTTTTTGCTATAGTACTTTCATTTTAAATTTGGTTAAAATCAGATCTCAATATTGCGTTTATATTTTCCAAATGGCCTTACTTATGGCGGTCTAAATACAAATACAGCCAACTAAATTACCCTTTGGCGAAAAATTAAATTTTGTTATTACACGAATACCGAATTATAAGACAAAATTCAATGATAATAAGGGCTTAAGGGCTAATTTACCGTAGATAAATTTTGAGTTTCTGTAGGCCAGTGCATAAATAAATCAAATAAATCGGGTAAAACATAAAAGGTAAACATTATGGAAATCAACACAGAGAGCCCAAGGAATTCCTGTTCAAACTTGAATTTCGAGTGTTTACCTTTCGCCCACTCTCCACTCACCACCCCCTCTTCCAGACATTTGCGAGCCATAAACGCCGCCGCACATTTACCGTAAGTAAGCCCCCCTTTCGAGGGACTTGTAATAAAGCGTTTTACGATCTCCGCTGCCTGACGCACTTGTTGTTTTTATGACAGTTAAGCTATTTTGCGTATGACACGTTTGACAGATGCCAAGCGCCCAATGTGGCTGTCAACGCTGCTGTTAAACGCAGCCATCTCGCTCCCTCCATTCACTCACCCTTTCCCCCACACTTTCACCCACCCACCCATAGAAGGGCTGGCCAAATTTAATATTGAACTTAATTAACAATTTATTGGTCGTTTTGTATAACTTTAATAAGAATCGTCGATTCTATTAGGCGAAGATTAGATTTTTTAATGAATACTTAAATGTATTTAAATTGGAAGGCTTAGAATTGTTTGAAATTGACTTCTTTTTGATTCGGAGTGCCATGTGTAAATATAAATATTATTTCGAATTGTGGTCAAAAAACCACACCCCTTTGGGGCCAAAAAGTTTGGTGCATGTTTGCTGCCAGGCATTTTAATTTCAGAAACAGAAATGCGAAAAATGGGCGGGTGTTGGGCGTGGACAGTGGGCTGTCTTTTCGCAGCTACTTTTACGCATGTTTTCGCGCAGAGGGCCAAAAAGAAGTCGGCTTGGCATAAATTGTCTCGGCCAAATGTGGCGAACTACGACAGCCGCTACAAAAACAACAATAAACTGGGCCACGCCTACAAAGCCATAAGCTACAAACATCAAATATCAACAGCAGCAACATCAGCTAAAACAACAACAAGCAACTGCCGCTTGGCTTGTCGCATGTAATTGCTTGCCGCAAAGTAAATGACAATAGCGCAAGGCAAAAGACACCGTCATTGGGAGCAGTGGGCAAAAGTAACACCAATTTTGATATCCAATAATTAAGAATTGATAGCAATTGCACACATAAAATTGAAACCAATTTTGATATCCAATAATTAAGAATTGAATGCAGGTTGCCATTGGGAATTTTTATTTATTTTCGCCTTGGTTAAGTCTTAAAATCTTACTGAACAACAAATTTGTTGTTTATTTATAGTTTTAATGTAAGTATTAAATTTAATTTATATATTGTATTAAGCCAAAATACAAAATATATTTTTAAATATTTTTATTTAGCAATTTCTGCTGTACCCATTTATTAAGTATACGTTAGGTTTACAGATATACCACATGTATCATTAGTTCTGATAATACTATTTGTGTTCAAGTCAAAAATAAATGTGCATCAAATTCCATTTTAAGCTTATAATTTTATATTTATTTTATTTGTTTAAATAATTGTTTTTATTTTAAATTTAATTTTGTAATGTTAATTCAATTTGTTCAATTCATTCCAAGTATGTTTTAAATTTAGGATTATACTTTTTAGTGATACACCTTTTTAACTTATTTAAAAGACTGGCTCCAACTTCCTGATTTTAGGATTAGTTTATTTGAGGTTTTGGGTGTAATTTAACCCACTGTGCCGGTAAACAAGCTGAGGTCGGTGTAACTAAAAACCGCAAAAGCTTGTCACTCCCCCTTTCGCCCCCCACACTGCTCCCTGCCCCCCGCCACGCCCCCTTGCTCGCACACACTTCTATGCTGTCGAAGTTGTTGCTTCCGCTCTCGCGGTTTCGTCGCTCTCGCTGCTTGGATGTGTGTGTAAAAGTATCTTTCGCTTTTGTTTCTTTTTGCTGTTGTATCTTCCGCTGTTGCTGTTGTTGTTGTTGGACGCCGTACGTGGGCGGCAAAGGCATTAGAAAAATAAACCTCAAGCCTCGAGTTCCAATTGAAGCTTTAAAATATTTGCTGGATGACGTCGGCGGCCAATCTTTTGTTGTCGTCAATCAAATTTGAAATTTCTTTGACGCGTTCTACGGTTGCATGCACTTGGCTTTGAATTTCCACTTGGATTTCGAATAAACAATTGCAAAAAACTGATAAGGCCTGTGGCGTTATCGTCTGGGCGGCCATAAATCACCTTCTTGATGCTTAGCGGCAGAGAAGGTCACATTCACCAGCACCCGTTAACAAATTCCGTTTAAAATTCTGTATGACTTCAGATTGACTTCTAGTCTTGAACGCCATCACATTCGACAAGGATGGACGGACGTATATATATGACTTAATTCTCCAACATCCACCGTTAAATTTGGTATACATAAAAAACATTTAAACACTGGCTTCCATTTGCGTATCGAATATCGTTTTTGTTTATTCTCGTCCCATTATTACTTGTATTCATTTGCCTCTTTTTTGGTCAAAGCTTTTGGCCATTTAATATTCATTTATTCAGCCATGTTTATTTATTTATTTGCGTGTCTCTCGGTCAAAGTGTTTGTGATTGTATTTTTGTTTTTTGTGTGTGGCTAAAAGACCGAAAGACGTAAAAAAAATAACAAAAAACGTGAAATCGCATGCTAGGAGCCATGGCCATGATTTTGAATTTCAGCAGGCAAGAGTCGCGACAAAGAAATCCGAAATAAAATCCAAATAAAAAATATAATCGTAAAAAGCACTTGGCATCCATGCGATACCCTTGTGGAGGGTCATCGTTTACTTTTATTTCTTATTTCTGCAGTTCGGTTTCCTGATCTTCCGGGTGAAGTTAACCCAGTTCCTTAGATACAATTTTATTTATTCCCTAATGTTTTTGTTGTGATAAAAAAACGTTACTTTAGTAACAGGTTTCTTTGAAGTCAACTTTTTATACCCCTTTTAGATAAACGCTTTTGGGAAAATAATTAGTTAATAGGTTGTTAAGGTCTCTTTGACAAATTAAATGCTTTGAATCAATCTCATTTTATTTAGTATTCCTAAAAAAAATGTTTATTTATATTTATTTATTTGAAACAAAAAAGTAACCAATTATTAAAATACTCTAAAAAAATTCTATCAAGATTTCAAGCTTAATCGGCTTTTTCGCTTGGTCACATTTGAAAAGGGAGCAATGTTAGAGATCTTAGACAATAAAACAATATTAAAGAGAAAACTTGCAATTCCAAA